GCCTAGGCTGAGATCACTCTAGAATGACATGGACCTAGGCTGAGATCACTCTAGAATGACTTGAAACCTAGGCTGAGATCAGTCTAGAAAGACTTGGGCCTAGGCTGAGATCATTCTAGAGTCACTTGGACCTAGGCTGCAATTAGTTTAGCATGACTTGGGCCTAGGCTGAGATCACTCTAGAGTCACTTGGGCCTTGGCTGAGATCACTCTAGAATGACTTGGACCTAGGCTGAGATCACTCTAGAATGACTTGTGTCTAGGCTGAGATCACTCTAGAGTCTTTTGGAACTAAGCTGAGATTACGCTAGAGTCACTTGGGCCTTGGCTGAGATCACTCTAGAATGACTTGGAACTAGGCTGAGATCAGTCTAGAATGACTTGGGCCTAGGCTGAGATCATTCTAGAGTCACTTGGACCTAGGCTGAGATCAGTCTAGAATGACTTGGGCCTAGGCTGAGATCAGTCTAGAATGACTTGGGCCTAGGCTGAGATCAGTCTAGAGTCACTTGGACCTAGGCTGAGATCACTCTAGAATGACTTGGACCTAGGCTGAGATCACTCTAGAGTCACTTAGGTCTAGACTGAGATCACTCTAGAGTGACTTTGGCCTAGGCAGCAATTAGTCTAGCATGACTTGGGCCTAGGCTGAGATCACTCTAGAATGACTCGTGTCTAGGCTGAGATCACTCTAGAATGACTTTGACCTGGGCCGAGATAAGTCTAGAATGACGTGGGCCTAGGCTGAGATCACTCTAGAATGACTTTGGCCTAGGCTGAGATCATTCTAGAGTCACTTGGACCTAGGCTGAGATCAGTCTAGCATGACTTGGGCCTAGGCTGAGATCACTCTAGAATGACATGGACCTAGGCTGAGATCACTCTAGAATGACTTGAAACCTAGGCTGAGATCAGTCTAGAATGACTTGGGCCTAGGCTGAGATCATTCTAGAGTCACTTGGACCTAGGCTGCAATTAGTTTAGCATGACTTGGGCCTAGGCTGAGATCACTCTAGAGTCACTTGGGCCTTGGCTGAGATCAGTCTAGAATGACTTGGACCTAGGCTGAGATCACTCTAGAATGACTTGTGTCTAGGCTGAGATCACTCTAGAGTCACTTGGACCTAAGCTGAGATTACGCTAGAGTCACTTGGGCCTAGGCTGAGATCACTCTAGAATGACTTGGACCTAGACTGAGATCAGTCTAGAATGACTTGGGCCTAGGCTGAGATCATTCTAGAGTCACTTGGACCTAGGCTGAGATCAGTCTAGAATGACTTGGGCCTAGGCTGAGATCAGTCTAGAATGACTTGGGCCTAGGCTGAGATCAGTCTAGAGTCACTTGGACCTAGGCTGAGATCACTCTAGAATGACTTTGACCTAGGCTGAGATCAGTCTAGAATGACTTGGACCTAGGCTGAGATCACTCTAGAGTCACTTGGACCTAGACTGAGATCACTCTAGAGTGACTTTGGCCTAGGCTGCAATTAGTCTAGCATGACTTGGGCCTAGGCTGAGATCACTCTAGAATGACTTGAGCCCAGGCGAAATCACTCTTGAGTGTTTTGAGCCTGGGTTGAGCCTGGGCCACCCCACCCTTCGGTCCACTTGGCTATCCGGGCTCAAATACCCCCCCTACTATTTCGAATGTCCATGTGTGATTGTATGTTCTGGTTAGATTGTGTATAAAGCTAAAGATTTATTGGAGGCTATGTGATTGGTGTGTAGATGTTTGAATCACACATGTGCCCAACTTCGTGTGTACAGCTGTAATCCCAAATGTCTACGTCGTGTGCAGAAATTGTTCATGATATCAATACTATCAATAATGCGTCCTTCACATACATACATTGTATACATGAGATATTGACATGGTCCAAGTTTGCAGACAAGAAACCGCTGCTTTTTGCATTTTCTAGCATTGACGTTTTCTACTTTGTACAACTATGGTTGTTTACAGCATGAGTATTGATTGACAACATCTGGCGTTACATAATGTATGTAATGTCTGGGTTTGTTTGACATGGACATTTGATATTGGCAAGGCCACACATAAAATTTTCAGCAAGAGGTAGCTGATGTGGTTGAAATAATATTTTTCACAGAAAGCAATGGTTAAAATTGGCACCCTGAACAGGCAATAAGTTATTCGTATCTACCTTTAAAATAACGCGTGTTGAGCCCAACGGGGAGTGATCTGAGCCTGGAGTGTGAGTGAGTTGGGTTTAATGCCGCTTTTAACATTATTCCAGTTATATCACGGCGTGCCAGCTTTATGTGTGAGGGAAGCCCGAAGTGATGCAGGTCTCAGACGTTTACCACGTCCATGTTTTGTATGACCAGCTGATAGGAAGGTTGTCTCAGAAACGCTATATGTCAGTGTGATGGAAGGCAAGTGCTCGAGAGGGAAACTAACAACATTCAAGAAGTCGAGTATGTGTCCAGTATGTGGTTAGAGATGGGGAGGGAGGAGAAAAAGACATATACATTTCTTTGATAGGCATTTAGAAGTTGGATTACTAAGTAAGGATAAGAATTTATGGATGAACAATTGTAATAAGCTCTTAATTGTAATAAAGAAGTTGTTCATCCAGCTCTTAATTGTTATAAAGAAGTTGTTCATCCATAAATTCTTATCCTTAGTTAAGACATATACAGAGAGCTCGGACAGACGGATACAGGGCTGAAGGAGAGCGAGGAAGAAAAGCAGCAGTATAGGCCGAGTCCATGAGAGTGGATAGTAGATGCAGCAGAAAGGCAGGGACAAATTGATTTTAATGTTATATTGCAATATCCCAGCAATAGAGCGATCAATTGATCGAGGTGTAGACAGCCAAAGACAAGACAGAAATAGCTTGTTAAAGATAGGAACAGATGGCCAGGTGGTGCAATAATGTTCATACCACTGCATACATTACTATTTTGCAAGGTTTAGCTGAATTGTTTTAACTTGACGATATTCAAGAGAAGGTCTGCATGTATTAATTTATGTGACTATATCTCACAAATAACAGGGAGAACGTTTGAGGTTTGAGGAATTAAGGTCACGGTCAAGACTAGAGCTTGTTTAAATTTTTAAACAGAATACAAGCCAAACATTTTTTTAGATATTTGGCAGGCAAGTTGTTCATCTATATATCTTATCCTTACGCTCCACCTTACATTATGAACGAGAACATGTCAACAAACATTTGTCAAGCTCGAGTGACAAAATTCTTTGCAGAAATCTACAACCGTTATTTGAGGATTATCAAGCATCTGAGGTTTCAATTGGCCATGCTAGAAATCTAGTCTTAGTTTGGACAAGCGCACACCATCACAATTTATAACATGACAATACGTTTCAGTTTGCTGTGGAAGGCGTGTGTTTAATTATCAATTATCATTGATTATTATGCCATTAAAAATGTATGTTTAACCGAACAGCTGTGCAGCAACATACCTGGTATCATTGATATGATATTGTATTAATATCTGGACCACGGTGATATTTATGACGCAAGTTAGTTTCAAACAATATGTTATTAGTGTTTGTCCTGTTAGTATCCCCCAATCTGTCGAATCTTCTTACATCAAGTATAAGGTACAGGATTACAAGAGGAACAGAACCGCACCCCAACTACAATACACTGTGACACAAACCTACCTTGTGAGGCTAATCGTGTCCTCAACATGTTTCACGAACCTTCTTCAGTATCCATTGCGATCCTTACCTTTTCTCAAGTGAAGCTGCACGTGTCAGACACGGACATGTTTGAGTGAGTGAGTATGGTTTTACGCCGCTTTTAGCAATATTCCAGCAATATCACGGCGGGGACACCAGAAATGGGCACCACACATTGTCCCCATGTCGGGAATCGAACCCGGGTCTTCGGCGTGACGAGCGAACGCTTTAACCACTAGGCTACCCGACCGCCCCTGGGACATGTTTGAAGATATTTCGAGTTTTAGAATACAGAATGAGAATGCAGGTATTAAGCTGAACTCTTTTCCATGTTAGTAAATACTGTAATCCGTTGCATAGCTTTCGCAAGCTTATTTTGTTTTTGTTTTAAATGTGTTTTTTCTCGAAAACCACTAATGCAGGGCGGGACAACTTAGGAATGGCCAGGAGTCCGAACTTGACCACACAGAAGGAAGCGAGATACAAAAACATGTTTTATATCATTGGAAAGCTCTCAATGAGACAAATCCAAATAATGTGTGTCCCAGTGTGTTCACATGTTCACAAGCTCAAAAATTGGCTCCAAAAATGCATTACTGCAGAAATTTCTGGCAGAATTTTTTTTTTCTGCAGAAATTTCTGGCAGTATTTTTGTTTTCTACAGAAATTTCTGGCAGAATTTTTTTTTTCTGCAGTAATATCAACCATCAATCTTTGGAGAGTTTAAATTGAATTCAGCAATTGAAGATAGTTATCTTGGTATTATATTTACCAAATTTATCAAGAAAAGTTGACGTCACTCGAATTAAACAATGGAACAACATGTTGGCCTCATACCTTTGTATACTAGACAGATGCAAATCATTGAACCTTGAGCTTACCCTATAATTATCTAAATTATTATGAGAATTTCAGTGACCATCTTCAATGGCCTTTTTACGACTTTGAAGTGTACAACATTAAAGGTGAATGTGATTCTCAAAAAATAAATTTCATAATTATTCCATGGGGCCAACCAAATATATAATCCCCAGTTGGAATTCAAAGAAACAACCTACATGTGATATACGGTACTCTGAAAGTAGGTTAACTTCAGACATGGAAAAAATAGAACACAACCAAGATTTTACAATATAACTGCATATATTGTTTCATAAGTTCCATTGTGCACATCTCATCTTATATATGTATATATATATATACAATTCTAAATACACAGATTTACTAAGAAACAAAAACATACAAAGTACAAAACTCCTGCAATGCAATCCTCGGCAATATCTCAGCCACATAGCTTAGACAAAAAATATGTTCATTTCAGCAAAACTTGCTGCTCCTTCTTTATTGTTCTGATACTGACGCTTGTCTTCGGTGCTTTGTCAGAGTGATCTGAAAGTAAAGAAAGAAAATGTAAAGAATATGAGAACATAATTAAAATCACAGTGCATCTATACAATAAAAGCAAAAATAGTAACCTCATGAAGTTGGGTTGTTTCTCTGCCCACATTACACATATTCTAAGTAACGCTGACTAACCCTAATATTACACATCACAATACATATTTCAAAAGAAATGTAATATTTATTGAAATTACCTTTGATTGTTTTTGCAGTTTTTCATTGTTCTTCTCTATTGCCTCTTGAACTTTAGTTGGGAGGGTTGTCGCTTCCCTTGGGGCAGGCATGAAGGGCTTGAAGTCTGATAGCTTGGTGGTGGGTGTCCGGATGTCCCCAATCTTGAAGGAGGGCATCGCGGGTTGTTGCAGGCTTCTGTCTAAGTTCCCTTGCAAATACACTAAACAGTTGATCCAAATCTTCATGCGTGTGCCCCACCATGAGAAAGAAAGTTTCACCTGAAAATAGTATTTACATCAGTATTATCACTATGAAAACAAATCAAATTGTACAAAACTTGTTTATTTACAGAATACTGATTTGAGTATTGAGAATATTAAGAGAAAAATCAATCTTGTGCATTTAAAAAGTTTCAACATAGTGTGCAGATTCTTTTATACTTAGGATGAGCAACTGGACATGAAATACTTGCTTCAAAACAATTCTAATGTGGTTTAAAACAATTTACATAAATTATAAAAATATTAACCACATGTGACTTCAGCATTTACTTTGAATTGTATAGTATAGCCTCAAGGAATAAATACGCTATACATGATATTGTATGTGGAATCATATACCAATAATTTCATTGATAACTATCTCCATGATAGCACTAAAAGTGACACCTTGGATTGCAGCGTCCACTTTTGACTGGCCGACAAAATCTTGCAGCTTTACTGGTCCTGGAAATGTCAAATAAATATTTGAACAATACATAAATTGCAACTTTAATGTAATTTGATAGTCATACAAATATAACAATTGCCAATTTCCATTCTCAGAAATCCACAATTCCTCCAAAATTAGACAAGCCTACCAGACAAACATTGAATTTATTCAACAGGCCCGTACCAAGCATTTAGCTAAGACAAAGATAAATTTCTATCCTTCTAAACGTGTGTTACAAATATAATGTACAAACAAATGTCTTGACATACATGGCACGATCCCATTACAAAACAAATCCCATTACATCCTTTACTAATAATACTGGACAAACTACAATAACGTAACCCATATATGTGCACTGTGGATACTAAGCTCCACTGGTTTCTAAATAAGAATCTACATAACTCCCTACCAATAGGATATGTAGACAGTAATATATGTTTTGGTTTGGTTTGTTGTTTACTGCCGCATTCAGCAATATTCCACCTATATGACAGCGGTCTGTAATTAATCGAATCTGGACCAGACATTTCAGAGATTCATATCATGAGCATCAATGCAAGTCAGCGAGCCTGACCACGCGATACTGTTAGTTGCCTCTTAAGACAAGCATAGAATTCACTGGAAACTGGAAAGGAAATATCACAAAAAGACATGTTGTGCTTGGATACCAATTACACAATAATGACCCATTAAATCTTATAATTATTCTTTGCAGAAATCTTTTTTTCATGTAAAGATACAAGGCATATTCCATCGTTCCAGATCTTCCAGAATGAACTTAATAGTTTTATTAAAGCAGTTATTAAATGAACAGCATTTATGAGTGGGTATAAGACAGATTCTATAAATTTTGGTCTTCATGGCATACATTTTTTTCGTAACATGGAAGTTGTTTTCTGTTTGACATGAAATGCAACAAATAAAAAGGGCTTCACACACTGTGCCCATGTGGAGAATCAAAACCAGGTCTTTGGCGTGATGAGCAAACGCTTTCACCATTGGGCTACACAACCACCCGAGGGTAAAGAAGAAAGCAATGAAGGTTTCGACACAACATCCATAATGCAGTAATACATGGACAAACTGAACATGCATGCACATAAAAAAAACAATTATACGGACAGAAATGGCTGTGTGTTTTGCCAAAATTCCTAAAAATACTGTTGCTAGGATGCAGCAGTGAACTCATTGTTGTGTTTATTTGCTTGTTTCTATAACTATATTCCAGCTATATGACAGCAGTCTGTAAATATTTGAGTTTGGACCAGTCCATCCAGTGACTGATATCATGAGCATCAGGTTACGCAATTGGGATACGATGACACACATCAAGCAAGTCAGCAAGTCTGACCATCTGATTTCGTTAGTCGCCTCTTACAACAAGCATGGTCGCCTCTTATGGCAAGCATGGGTTGGTGGAGACCTATTGTGAGAACTATGCATGTCATATATATGGCTAATATTAGCAAATTCCATTCAGGAGTATACACTGAGCCACAGCGGGCAGCTAATTTTGGCTTATGGCACATGTAACTAGTACTTTGGGGGAACTTTTGTACTGAAAGTGTTGTTTCATTGGTTGCCATCAGTTACTGAGACACATGGACAAATTGACTTACTATGAAACTGGATGTAACATTTAATTAAATAACTTTGGGCAACATACCTCCTTATAATAATTATGGTTTCTTTTATTCACTGTGGCACATGAACACCTGCTCACCTGGAATGAGCAGTCAATTCCAATTTCATTTTTGATGAGTTGATTTCCCACAAATATTTGATGGAAATAACTTGATTCTGATTGGACAATCAGGTTATGAAATCACAACAATCCCCCTCTTATTAAAAAGGCTGATTTGGAAACTAATATTTTATAAAGTAGTACTTTTTTACAGTCATTGTCAATAAGCATTTTAAAATAATTACATTTATAGGATACAACATGCAAAGTTTCACTACAATATTGAAAGGATGTGTGGCAATACATTTTGTGCAGAAAACCATAAAAAATCTACAGAGAGAATGAATTTCAAGTTTTGAGGACAACAGAGAGCTTGACATTGGCACTTTTCATTTTAGGACTGTTACGTCATATCTTTTGTGTCACAGTGAGTGATTTGTCATCCTAGTGGCTAGCTTAGTTTTCTTTTGGGGTGCCCACTTCATCGTGGTTTTTGTGCTACATGCTTTCAATGCCTGACCTATGTGTAAACAAACTGTTTAAGCATATACAGCACCACTGTCGGTGATTTTGTTTGTTTGTTCACTTTTTTGTTTAACACCGCACTCCAACAATATTTCAGCTATATGACGGTGGTCTGTACAGAAGTCTGGACCGGACAATAAAGTGATTAGCATCATGAACATCAATCTATGATTTGGGATATGGTGACAAGCGTCAACCATGTCAATAAGCCTGACCACCCAATCCTGTTAGTCGCCTCTTACAACAAGCATAAACACAACATGTTTTTAACGTGGAGCACGGTTACCTGTAGATTTACCCATGCTTAATTTAAAATTTGAAACCTCATTCTCTGTTTTCGTTTCCAAATTCAATTTAGTGCAGTTTACAGGTTACCAAGTGAAACATTGAAAACACAGTATTTTTATCTCCTGATTAAATACTGGATAAAATTGGTAGCATATATAAAGGTATTAATAGAGTTAGATAGAGTGACAGTAACATGAGAATGATATGAATTACAAGTCTACAGACACTAGTTATAGTTAGATAGAGTGACAGTAACATGAGAATGATATGAATTACAAGTCTACAGAAACTAGTTAGTCTGAAAATGTCATGTAATACTGAAAATGTCATGTTTTAATGAAAACTTGATTTTTAAACATTTTGATAATGCAATACAAAAAACATTCATAAACAAACATCTCACAAAACTGTGATGCAATAAGATCAGTGTCATGTATTTTCAAAATGACAATCTATCATTAAGTATTGTGACAATGTCTTGCGCACTTAACATAAACTGTATGGTTTTGGGCCATATTGTCAGCGCCACAGATGTAGTGTTCGGAACTGGTTGAAATTCACAACAAGAATGATGAATAAATCATACAACATTTGTCAAGATTAATCAAGTTCTCTCAGATACATGTAGCCTATAGATCCTATAGATCCTATAATTGCATCAATGTTACAGTCACGCTCGCATGTTGCTGTATATAAAAAAAATTAAACCTTAGAGATATTAAAACAGTATTATCTCACGTAATTATTCCAAGCTGATGTAATGATTCCAACTTTTTTATTTCCAAGTGTATATTTTTAATTGATATTGAAGTTTAAACAATTGACATAAGAATCGCAAGTGGGTGGTTTGTTTTTTTTCTTGAATGGGCAATTAAAATAATAATGTAAAAAGTATCCAGTTGGCTATTAAATTACATTCATTTTCCCTAAACCAATGTCAGCAGTTATTGCTTTTTTATGACATGAGTAGAAATAAGTTATAATGTGTATATTTATATAAAACATGAATTACCAATAAAAACATCATATTTGGAAGGCAATCTGCCATGAATACAATGGAAGTATCTTGTAGGGATCAGCAAACAGTGCAGACAAACATTAAGGATGTGCAGGGGCAACTTAAGATTAAAGATTTCTTGAAATGTTAATGGTTATCCAAAAACTTAATAAAGCATCAATTAATCATCTCTTTTATAGCACTGCTTGTGAAAAAGAATAATTGTTGATTTGTCTCAAGATTTCACTACTGAAAAAACTTTTGGTGAATATCAACTTTGTCTTTCATACATTGTACACATGCTTCCATAAAATTATTTTTTTTGTATAATAGAATGTTATGTTAATCATTTTCAGATTTAACTCAAGAGTGACAAATATCTATTTAGATATTTATCAAGTTTACATAACCCTAACAATGACTACCGAATTTCTTCCATTTAAAATTCTTGTTATCATAAAACTTTAAAATAGGCACGTCAAGATAAGTCGTATTCTACATCTGAAATCAATGTTAGTGACAAGACTTTAAAAGACTTTTAAAAGCATTTTACACTTAAGGACAGTCATGAACATGAATTTTTGTCCGCTTATCTAAACTTACATTTAACCTAGCTGACAAACCCCTTGTGAAACAATAATATGAATACACTGAACAGTATGAATGACCTGACAAACATCAGACTGTTTATTCATAGTCTTTTTCTTATGCCAAACTCTAAAAACATGATCCTATCTTTATTACAACTACAATTTATGCAACGGAATTCTGTTACTGATGTGCTTTGTAATGACGATTTCGCGATTATATGAACGAATGATTCGTCAAAGTACCTTAATGCTTATCCACATTCTGACTGGTGATGAATGATTCTTGTCAATGTTTTTGATAACCTTGTTACCTCAGGGAGCAAAGACATGTTATTATTTTCACAAGATTATTCCTGTTTCACAAAATTTTGGTTGAAAAAGTATGTACCAAAGATGATAATATGTGAGATTTGAGAATAGATGCCTTGAATATGAATAAATACTAAATTATGTTTTAGACACTTTGTCCCAAAAAGAGTTACCAGGTACATATGATCTGACACTCCCAACCTTTCGTAATCACAACATTCAACTGTTGGCTTGTGCATAGAGAATGGAATCTATTCATATACGTATTTGAAGGTTTTGCCTTATTGTATCAACAAGTTATTTCAATGAAAATTAATAATGTTTAACTTGTTTGTAAATTGATGAGAAATAAGTTAGGTTTATTATGCAGATAGCAAATGTGTGCTTTGTAGTAATAATGAAACAATAGTTCAAAGAAATACATTCATTGATACTGTGTATGTGCAATAGTACTAATTACTTTCAGCATGTGTTATCATACAAGACCATATCAGACAACCCATTCACCTGTTAACAGACGTGACACACCTGCTTGTGTGGGCCACTTCACGTTCTTATTACATAGGAATAAGCAATCAATGCTGTCAACTTATTTGTATGTTATGATTACTGCTCCTGTGATAATATGACATATCATTTTAGAATAAAAATGTTTGAAGCATGTTTGGGAAACCTAAAATATACAGTTGTGACTTATCACTAACATAGCCCCACACGCACCAGAAAACATTGGATCAACGGTAAAGTTGTGAGTCTTGAATGATTGTGTTTGGTTTAACACCGCTTTTAAGAGTATTCCAGTTATATCATGGCGTGTCAGCTTATTGTGGGAGGAAAGTCCAAAGTGATGCAGATCTCTGACGTTTACCACTTCGATTAAACCCACGAGCACAGATATGGTGCTGACAACCTAGAAACATTGGGCGAACAGGGATTCAAACCAACAATAAATGCCCAATTGCAATGCCTGGTAGTGTATGTATATAGTTGGTATCGATACGTTATTCAGGTCTTATCAGTAATACTCCTTGCCAAACCCTTACGTTTATCGAATATTGTTTCCATGCTAAATTCGGTTCCATTTTGAAGATCACTTTTATATGTATCCAGTTGGAAACAGCAATTATGAATATAGATTTTGCAATATTCCTGGGCTTTCAGAAATTCGAGAAGAAAATTCGCGAAATTCGATATCGACATGTCCTCTCAAAACGAAGAAAGGGTTCTATCACTAGGTCCACGTGAGAGTATGTCTCGTAAACTTGCCTAGCCCTACGCCTACTGTTAGCACCACCGAGTAGACCGAGCCACCCACCAACTCGCACCCTAATTAAGTCATGGCCGTGTGGGCAACGAGGGCAACACTTACCTGGTATACTACGTACGTAACACAAATATAATGCCACGCGAAGCCATATATATATATAAAGGCTACACAATCCGCGTACGTTCGCAGAGCCCTGGCTCTTCCGCTCTTCCTTTCCTAGCTGATGTTGACATTTTGATAAAAAAAACAACATGCACCGTGCTTTGATTCCGAAACGAAATTTATATTGGCAACACAGTCGGTGGTGGTAAAAAACCCCAGCGCAACGCAAGACCGATGGAGTACCTCACCCCTACATTCGCCGTACCAGTTTATTTTCGCGTTCGTAGCTCAACTCTACCTAATAGTGCCGATGCAATAAATGAACTATAGTTGACGACATTGCACAAAAACATTACTTACCAATTTCAGTGTTTTTCCTTTTGGGCAGATTTCTTGAAGAAAGATGTCTGCCTTGACTGTTGATGACGTTGGTAAGATCTGTAATAGGGTAATGTTCAGTGAATATGTTCATAAAGAAACCATGATCCAAACAGAAGGCAAAGGTTCTTCAAGATATATACGGTGTTTGGTGTACAAAAATAGAATAAAATGCTTCTTACCCATGTCAACGTTGTTGAAGCAGAGCTGGTGAACCCTCCTCAAGGCATCCAGAGCTTCTCACTGCGACCAGAACTTGGGTTTTCGATGTGATTTACCGACTTGTTGAATCGTTATCGTTTGATCGTCTGACAGAACGTTCTCGACGATTTAACGATATTTAACGATATATAATACCTGATTAGGGTTAAATCTATATATACCATTTTTATGGTCGGGCGTCCACGGCTGATTGGTATATCAAATCAATCACAAGGGTGTATATCATGCCCCTGAGTGTTCACGCCTCACTGGGTGGTCACGTAATAAGGTGTGGCACCAGCATCTCGGGTTACAATTTGATATTAATTCAAGTACTCCACTGATAATGTACATAGGTAGTTAACTTAATTACATTCAGTTTTGTCCGACAAGGAGCGAGTTTCCTTTTTTTAGACACAGATTTTGTAACAGGCTCTTCCCCTGGAAACACATATATTGTAAATAAATATGTTGCCGTTTCCATCAACCTTATCACGTGATGTTCTATAACTGTTGTCTTGTACACTATCCATAGTGTAAGTCAGCTGGCTCGAGGAATTTTCATATAGTATTATCATTAAACAACATACCCTATGCAACAGTTATGTTGCTACCCAGACAAAACTATTTTTATATTCTATGTTAAATGTAAACGATCAGTTTTTATTATAAATACAAAACCACCTTTTAAGCGGTAATACCTATCATGCATTAAATAACATATATGAACAACCATGTGATTATAAAGTCTCACGTTGGTTCCTCCGTGCAACTTCATGCCTGACTTACATTCATATTGTTCTTTCACCACACTTACGCTTCTCCAAATTTAGAAAGAAGCTGTGTACACAGTGTTCTTGCGAGTTACAATTACGCGTCCGGTTTGGCGGCAACTTCAAAGAGTGGACATATGGTTGCTCCTTCAGGTAGCTATAATTACCCTCTCTATAATGCAATATCGAATTATCCATTTGTAATGAATGATAGTAACACTAAATCGGATTGGATTCAGTTAAATCTACATTTCTCAAGAGCTCTAACATCGAGATTTAAAATATATTTCATGTAAATACCTTCTTTGTCATGTGACTTGGATATATTCGTGTATATTCAGAATCGTACCTTCGCACAATGTCTTTGCACAATGGCACAAGCAACGTGGTCTCTTTCTGTAAAAAATAGCACTCTTTATTTCAGCCACAGCAAAGATCCCGAACCACCCGCAATCAGCAGAGTTACAGCGTCTGGTTACCGTCTTGCAGTTACGATACAGGTAAGACGTCAAAATATTTATTGTTTTATTTCTTGAAACGCCGACCCTAGAACGTGGAATTTTGGTAACACGGGGGGTTTAGGGGGGTGTTGGTTGTTCACAGGGTCACTCGACAATCAGAATGTATACGGGTATTTCAATAAATGTATGATTCTCACCGACTCCCTTAGTGGACTAGGGAAGCCCTCCAAAACAAAAATTACAAAAAAATTGCCTAAATTAATAAACCAAACACTTAAAAGCTCCGACGACCTAACAAAAGCAGGCAAACAAATAACCTTCTTGTGGATCCCCGCCCACGTAGGAATTTACGGCAACGAAAGCGCCGATAAAGCAGCTAAATTATCTCTCAAAATACCAGTAATAAGCCTAAACCCTCAAAATAAACTAGAAAACTTCAAGGCCCTAGGCGTATTCCTAATCAAAACAGACCTAATTAAGCGCATCTAAAAACTAATTAATCTACCAATCCAGGTTAAGGAGGGTGTTGGTTGTTCACGGGGTCACTCGACAATCAGAATGTATACGGATATTTCAATAAATGTATGATATATTTAGTCCTTGGGCAGCCCCAATCTAAAAACAACAATAAAATCCTAATTCTCACCGACTCCCTTAGTGGACTAAAAGCCCTCCAAAACAAAAATTACAAAAAACGACCTAAATTAATAGACCAAATACTTAAAAGCTCAGACGACCTAACAAAAGCAGGCAAACAAATAACCTTCTTGTGGATCCCCGCCCACGTAGGAATTTACGGCAACGAAAGCGCCGATAAAGCAGCTAAACTATCTCTCAAAATACCAGTAATAAGCCTAAACCTACCCATCTCAAAATCAGAAATTAAAAGTGTAAACAAACAAAAAATAACCAAAAAATGGCATCAATATCAAAACTCAAATAGCCAAATCAAAAAAGTGCTCAGAAAACCACTAGCCAAACCTAAAATCCTACACCCCTCTAAAAAAATTGACAGATTTATTACAAAACTCCAAACAGGACACACGAACCTAAATAACCACCTAAAAAAACTTAAAAGACACACCACAGGCAACTGCCCCCACTGCAAACAACCCGAAACCACAGAACACGCACTCATCCACTGCACCCACTACCAAACACACAGAACCACACTACAAACCACCCTCAATCTAAATAAGGTTCCTATTCTAGATGAAATACTAAACCCTCAAAATAAACTAGAAAACTTCAAGGCCCTAGTCGTATTCCTAATCAAAACAGACCTAATTAAGCGCATCTAAAAACTAATTAATCTACCAATCCAAAATCCAATAAACATACAAAAACCAACCCACCCGGCTCCCTTAGTTCCCTCCTCCACCCACCTCGGCATTTATTCCAAATTTAAAAATTCCAAAACTTCAATATAAGCAACCCCTAAAAGCCCCCTCTTGGGTTGCACACATCACTTTCACCCTTTTCGGAATACAATAAATGGTCCGGCCAGGCCCGTGTGCGAAATAGGCTACAGTCGGAAAGCGCACGTTAAATCTCCTATATCAGTCAGTCAGACCCCAGTGTTTCATATCATTTTTCCACCAAACTAAAAAAGAATAACCCCCAACTGGATATGTCAAGCGAAACTAATTTTCGTTTCGTCTGTCGATTCATATTCTGAAAAATTCAAGGGGAACCACTCCAGCTTATGCAGCACACACATTTGGGAAGGTTGCTTCATTAATAATAATACTTCTTACCATGGTTTCACAGTCGTTCGGAACTTTTTTAAGATCTGACACCAGATTATGCTGTCCGAAAATGTATCTATTTTTTTTTAGTGGAGACAGGCCTATCGGAAATTCGAACTTGAACAGCAACGCCAAAACCACATTCCGCCGCAGTAACCAGCTGCTGATGACATAGACTAGGCTAGCTTTACACTAATAGTCCGGCAGAGAGGACAAAATCCAAGAATTGGGGGATAAAGTTTTTTTTATTGCTGGATTTGTTTAAGTACACATTCTAGGTTATGAAATTGACTGATGACACTCTGTCATCTTTGGGCATTTTAAAATATTCAAGATGGCCGCTAAAACATGAAAATATCTCTTCCGTGCTAATTGTATGGAATATGGGACTACTTTTGGTGCATATCACTATTGTTTTGCCTTCAACATATTAGAATATGTTATTCTTAATGAAATAGTTTCATTTGGAAATGTAATTAATCAAAATAATAGGCAATATTGTCTATGAAAAAAACCAAATCAGTATATATCGTTATATATACATTTGTTATTATATTATTCAGTGTCAACTGGGATGCTTGTGGATTTTCTAACGATTGTTAATGTTCTATAGTTACAAAAATAAGATAAATTCCCACTGCATTTTGAAATCAAATTATAAAAAACAATAAAGATAAATAAAAATAATAGTAACCTCAAAAGAGGTGCAAATAAAGCAAAACCTATTATGTCTGTTATACACATGGTTATGTTAAATTGTGTTAAATACTTTTAAGAAATTCATGCCAAAACAAACTGGGCCAAAAAAGATTGGGCCAACTTTTTTGGAAAAAAAGAATGGAACAATTAATGACTGGTCCCTTTCAATGGCTGCCTCAAAGCTTGAACTTGACATCTCAGCATGCACTGCAAACACGAAAACGACGTTTTTTTCCGTATATGGTCATTGGACGGAAAAACGACTAAAAATTCATTAAAATTGATTAATTGGTTAGCGTCTAGAAAGTGTCCGGAAAAGCGTGGAGTTTTTCAAGCGTAAAATGGACGGAAAAACGATGCTTTTTGCTCCGCCTTGTACAACTGTTAACGGCCAATCAGATGGCGCTGGTCCCCCGACGCACGTGATGCCCAAGGCTTCTTTTCGGAAGCATTAGGTTTCGTATTTCTGGCATGCCTTGCTCTAGTATCTGTCGCGCGCAGTGCAGCGAGATTTGCTGATTAGTCAGTTTTAGGATATGTAACATGGTAATGGAATTCAGACACGCGCCAAGAAGTCAAACCAAACCATGCTACCAAGTTTAGTGAGATAACATATCCCTCCGCTATGCACAGTTACATCAATCGGATAATGGGTTGTGTTTCATTTGGTTATAACAGTAACTAATTTTTTAATGTGAAGTTTACACGATACAAGGCTTTTCCATAGGACGAGAGGTGGGTCACATGACGTTTATCAGGTGACTGTATTCTTGAAATTACGTAAACACTGACTACTTCCACATTCCTGGGGAAAACCCTCGGAATTCCCAAGTACGAATTCATACAGAAGCGTTGTTTTTCATCATTTAGACCCTTTAATTTTGAACGTAGCGTCTTAGCAAACTCTGGGATAAGTCATAGAGTTTGGTTGCATGCCCGTTCAAGGATACCCATCCTAGAGAAAAAAAACAACCCAAAAATCCAAACTATCGTAGTGACAATCCACAGCAATCTATGAATTTACCTCAGTATCTATTTGACACATCTTTACAATCACCTTTCAATGATCGGCCAATTGATGAGTGATGACAAAGGCTTGAAATCGCCACAGGTTAATTAACAACTTCGGAAATATCTCCCGTCACGTTTATCGTGTCGGCCATTTTGTACTTGATGTAAATGTATTACAACGCTCTGTCACTGTGATTGACTTACTGAGGTAGTTCTTAACGGACCTTCTCATCTAATGAGGATATTTTTTGGAATACATTTCTTGTAAACAAACTAAAACAGATGTTCCTCGCTTTGGGGGGAACTATTTTATTCCGGAATGGCCTATTAAAGCTAACAGTAAGTCAAGGCACAATGCGTGTATATGATCTGTTATTATATGTGTTTAACA